TTCTTTCTGAGTTTAAAGTAATTTTGACTTTAATTATGTCAAGCAAAAAGACTGTTCTCACATTTAATGAACACAGTATTACAAATCCCTAACAAAAGGGATAGCTTACACTGCTGAACTAGGCCTCTCTGCTATACTATAAACAGCCTGGGGCCCAAGTACACAAGATTTGACAAACAACACACAGGTGAGGCTACCAAATGCCACCCACAGGCCCCTCACTATTGGGAAACAGGGGTTGCTACAGTCTCCAGAGAGCAGGTGGGATCCACGCTGGTCACAGCAGTGAGAACCACAGCACAACCACGTGTCAGCAGAGATGCTTCTGCCAGCATTTTGTGCTGACAGAGTGAGAAGCCCAGGGTGCATAAAAATAGAAATTTGCCACTGGTCACACTTGCCTTTTCTTACACATTCCATTTGATGAAAGGTTAAACAGAAGACAGTTTGCCACAGCTGCCTTACCAAATTCAGATATTGCCTCACCTCTAAAGCAAGTAAAATGCCATTTGGATGTTACATTGAAAGGACCTGATGAAGATCTGAAGTACATCACGTGACTTCAAGTTCCTCTGGCACATAACAGCCAGCCTTCTGATGTACCAAAAGCCACAACGAGATAGGAAGAGATGGTAAAAGAACAAATTCTACCACAACGGCAAGGACTGGACTTTTGGACCAGTCCGGAATATAAAGATTCTTCCTAGGAAGGATGTAGCACAGAGAAGCAGAGAGAAAACACAGCAGACTGACGGCCTCTCTACTTCGGATGCTCACAAGTGGACAAAGGTTCTAGCTCTTGGCAGCAGTCTGAGATTACAGAAACGAATATTTTCTGTGTCCACAGCCTTTCAGCATTGGTTTGCCAGATTAACAGAGACAGAATAATATCTGTCCATAATGTTGTTTGGGAAAATTCATGAGCAGGAACATTAAAATTTTATGTAACTCAGCAGACAATGGCTCACAGTCCAACTTTCATCTACATCAACATTTTAAAGACCCAAAAAACTGTGGATAATTCATGCTGACAGTTTGAACTGATTCCAAAGCATACAAAAATAGAAAATATGCAGAAAGGACACACCTGAATATTGTGCTGTTTGCAAAGCAGTTTCAGTTGAGCAGGTCACTAACCCGTCCTGAAATTACCCTTCCACAGCACGATTACCCAGCCACATTCTCAACTATATCTGCACTTTAGTATCTGAGAATCTGAGGCCAGAAGCAAGGATCCGTTTTCAAAGCACTGATCAGCATTCCCACACTTACTTAGCCAAGATGCCCACGCTCAAGAACAGCTTGATAACTTCAGTGATGCACACAGCTGTCGTTGAAAAGTAGAGATCTGCCTCCACTGTCCTCGTGTACCGCAGTGCGACTGTGTACGTGGCAGCCACCAGGGTCATCACTGTGAGGCAGTACAGCTTGAACAGTAAGCTGACACTTTCTGAAAGGAAACAGAGGTGACGACTCAGCATGGCCCTCAATTTAATTTAAGAACTGAAATGGGGGGAGGGCTGTAACAAACACATACTTTGACACCATACATTAATTACAGTGTTGGGAAACACTTCCCGTAAAAAAGTTTTAGTTAAATTTTAAAGCCTTCTCAAAGAAGCTGGTATAGGAACTCCAGGTGTTTGAACAGAAGATGCTCTCTTGCTTTCGTAATCACCTTTCATTCTAGAAAAATTAATCATACATTAATATCTATCTATTAGTAATCAAAAAGACTTTCTGTGCTTTCCTGCTCTTTAGCTGACAGCAGGAGCTCGTTCTGAAATGGCCAGCTGATCCTCTCCACGTAACATGCTGAAGTCTGACAGAGAATTGGCAGATGAGCAAAAGCAAAGAGAGAGGAAAAGTTCAGTATCAGCAAAGAAGGGCATCAGTCTAGCAAATCTTAACAATGAAGGCAGCATTTCCTTCAGCCCTATTTTCCACCTAAGTTAGTAAAAGAGTTTTGCTCAGAATGGTGATGGGACTTCACACAAAGGGCTTTCTTGACAAACTCACAGTAGAAAACATTAAGGTTATGGTGACTTGAGTAAACTAGACCACACAAGGACTATGTATCATCTGCATTATCCCCTCTGCCTTCCCCACTGCTATACTCCTACAACAGTAGCAATTCTTGTAACTGTTTTGCCCTGGACCAACCACTACCCTGCAAAATCGGGGAGTTAGTCTGTCCAGGGTCTACCGGCACAAGGTAGTTTTTTACACAACCAGACTCCTCTGAGGCCTGAGAGTTCCATTGGGTGGACACAGCCGGGCTGCACCAGCTCAGTCCCACATCAGAGAATGGCTAATCCTGCAACTGAACCAGGAGCGAGAACAGAGCACGACTTCAAACGAACTTCTCTGCACAGAAGCCCGACCACAACACATCAGCAAACGTGTGGTTTCTACGAAACTATCTTTCAAACTGGTAGATTATTCTTTGTTATGTTTGGCATCTGTCCTGTGGATGTTGGTCATTCAGCAGCACCTTTTGGGCCACTACCTGTCGTTTTCTGAACATCCTAAAAAAAACTTAATTTAACCGGTATAAGTGTATGCTCCTCTGCTGAACAGAGAATGAGCTACAAGGTAAGAAGGTTTGTAATAACTTTGCTCATTTAATATGAGAATGAGTTGCTGAATCCAGTGCAACCAGTGTTTCGGTTCATGTTGCTTTCAAGCCAGCAATGTCTTCAATTGTGTAACATTTCTGCAAGGTACAGTTAATACCTCCTGCTGCTGCAATCATTTAAATTAGCTATTTCCTTATAGATAAAAATCTCACCCACGTCAGTAACCGCTTTTAAAAGGTATAGCCAATTAATTTTTGGACTAACAATGCTTAGAAGAGACTTACAAGCTGTAATCCAGTTTTTAAATTACATTTGGATTGTGGGGACAGGCAGTGGGAATCCAAGGGCATAACAACCAGGAAATACAATTAATCTAGTCTAGTTTTACAAAAACGTGTTTTCTAATGATGTTTTAGTGCTTACAGAAATTATATTTAACACTGTGTTTAACTATGACTACTAACTAGAACTGATTTTAATCCATGCCTATATAGTACTTTTAAATAACTAATTGGCTAAGGGTTTGCAAACTTGGGTAAACCAAATGCATAATCTGGACATAATGAATCTAGACTGAATAGTTCTAGCATTAAGTAAAAAGGTATCTGCAGTTAGTTTTCAGCTTGGACATTTCTCTAGCCTGGCTCACGTGTCTGCATTGGTACCAGTGCAGCGCACAGAGAAGGAAAGCACTGCTAGGGCACCCATATCTTCTGACAAATCTGAACTTACACCAGCCTAAAGAAAAGAAGGGCTGAAAGAAGCTGTTGTTTCTTTCCCTGTAGATCCCACTCAGATGAAACAATTTCCAGCAAAAGGGACCAGACAGGCCAAAAGCCTCAGGATATAAGTGCGGACCTCCCACACATCTCCATAGCTCACCTAACGGCTCCGCCAGGGATCCTGGGATGCAGCCAAGGCCAAGCCTGGCACAGGGAGCACAACCCTGCCTGGGCAGCTGGGGTGGTGGGTGCCTGGCACACGGTGCAGGGATCCCTCCTGCTCCTTGCCCTTCCTGGCCCCAAGAGCTGGAGAGCCCTGTGCAAGGCTCTCCATGGGGGAAGCTGGCAGAGGGGCAGGCATTGCCTTCCGGATGGATTTCAGCCCTCCTGGCTTGCTCGAGGGTTCTGGCTTTGGGACCACTGGGGCTCAGCCTCATTGCACACAGAATCACAGAGAATCACAGAGAATCACAGAAAATCACAGAATCAACTGGGTTGGAAAACACCTCTGAGATTATCGAGTCCAACTTGTGACCTAACACCATCATGTCAACTAGACCACGGCACCAAGTGCCACATCCAATCTTTCCTTAAACACCTCCAGAGACGGCGATTCCATCATCTCCCTGGGCTGCCTATTCCAATGTCTAATTACCCTTTCTGTGAAGAAATTCCTCCTAATGTCCAACCTAACCACAGCCCAGCAGACACCCTGGTTCGGCGGCGCCCGCAGGGTGGGATCGGGGGTGTCCCTGTGCGCTGACCACCTGCACCTCGGGATAAGCCCCAGACACGCCGCGCCACGCTCCGACTCTCCCGGAGCCGGAACCGGCGGCGGGGGGGACGCGGCTGCCGCTGGTCCTGAAGGCGGAGGCGCGCCAGGGAGCCCCGCACCGGGAGCACCGGCCGCCCCCACGCCGGGAAGCAGCGGTCCCACAATGCAGGGAGAAGCGGCCCGGCAGCGACAGGAGAGCGGGGCGGCGGGAAGGCAGGCGGGAAGAGCCCCTCCCCGGCGCGACCCCGCGCAGCCCTTTCTTTCCCCCTCGCGTCTGCGGTGGTGGCGCCCGGCGCCGCAGCCCGCAGCGGGGAGGACAGTTCCACTCCCTCTGGCGCGGGGGAGGCAGGGGGGAGCCGTGGGCGCACGGGTCGCGCTGCCTCTTGGCGGGGGTGGGAGTTGCCCCCGTTCTCCGGCCCTGCCGCCCTCCGGGAGCCGCGGAACCCGCCGGGTGCCCCGCGCCGCCGCCCTCACCTTTCGGAGGCGACATGGTGCTCGCCGAAGGCGCCAGGACCGCCGGGCCGGAGCCGCCCGCCGTGCCCCGCCGCTCCTCCCATCGCACCATAGAGAGCGGAGCGGCCGCCCAGAGCGCCCCGCCGCCCGCGCCGCACCATCGAGTCGGCTCCGTCCCGCCTGGATGTTATCCTGGGTACAATCCTGCTCCCCCCGGCCTCGGCGGGAACTGTTTTACTGGCAGTAAACACCCAGGAATATCGCACACGTATTTCTCGTTGCCAGGAGAAAGCTTCTCGGTACCGGCACGTTTCTGGCGCTCCGGAACTGCGATGGGGGTTAGAATTGTATTCCCCAGCACTTTACAACGCTGCAGTAAAATTTCCCCAATGGAAAAGAACAAAGAAGTATAAAAGGAATTTTCACTCATCATTTTTCTAATAAATAAAATGTATTTATTGACCCTTGAAATCACGGAATCTTTAGTGTTGGAAGGGACCTCTGGAGGTCACCCAGTCCAAACCCCCTCCCAAGGAAGGGTCACCTGGAGCGGGTGACACAGGAATACACCCATGTGGGGTTTAAATGTCTCCAGAGAGGGAGACTCCACCATCTCCCTGGGCAGCCTGTATAACTGAGATAAAAAAAATGAAATACCAGTTTGTTGGTAAAACCTGTAACTGAAAAGCTTCAAAGTGAATGATGGTCAAAATACAGAGAGATCACAGCAAAAGAAAGTGTTTAATAAAGCAGCAATAGGGTATTTTTCCTTTCTTTTTTTTTAAAAAAAAAGCTGCAGGTGGTAATTGCATTCATGTTTTTATTAATAAATCTAATCATTGGTGCCAGCTCATAATTTAAAAACATGGAAGAGCAGCACATCTGGCTGCTACTGTTCAGTTTATTTTCCCAAAAGATAAAATCACCCAGTGAAAAACAATTTAGCAAAGTTCTTTCTGAGTGCTCTCCTCCAGCTCCTTTGTTGTTTTTTTTTAATACTGCTTTGTGGATTTATCCCAGTTGTGTAACTTTTAAAAGTGAAGCCAGATACCTTGGAAGCACAATGCCCCAGAAAAATCACTCAGCAGCTTGAATCTTCGAGCTTCATTGTCACAGGCTTGTGTAACAATGACCAGGAAACCATGCTGCACCACACTGCGCACACACACACACACACAAAAGGAGGTTTAGAAACCTTAGCACACCCTATGCAATCACAGTTGTGCACCCGGACATTTTGCAGATAGCAACTTGTGGACCTCTTTGTTGTCATGAAAAGAATCTCTGATTTGAAGTATCCCCTGCTTCCATTTGAGAAGATGTTTCATTTTATAGCTCAAATGATGCGGCTTTTCACACACAGAAATACTGGCTGCCAGTTGCATTGATCAGACCTGGCACATATTTCCCTGACACAGTTACATAAAGCTAAAAACCTTTTCCTGTTTTGCTTTAGTTTTTCAAACACAAACAAAACAGAGCTTTGGAAAAGGTGCCCTGAAGTTCCTATGGTTTGCAGTGTGCTTCCCAGCACACTGTTTAGCCAACAAATACAGAAATTACTAGAGATCCAAAGGGCTGCCAGAGTAATCCAAAACAGATTCCCTTTTCTCAACGTCCCTGCAATGGGTTACACTCATTGGGTCGGGTTAACACCAGCACAAATGCGCAGGCCCAAGGACCCAGACTGGTTTTATTTTGCTCGTTTTACCTTCCTGACAATTCTGCTCTAAGGCTAGAGCTGTGACAAATTGGGTGACTCTCTTATTTCACTTAACAACAGCGTTTCAACAACCAAAAGTTGTATTAAATCTTGAAGAAAATCCCAGAACACACACTGCACATTTAAATGTTAGTTTAGGTCAAAGTCCTTGGGAACATCTTGATCCAAAATAGCTGTTTGAAATCTGTGTGCTTCAGGCTTATCATTTCTATCACCTAAGGCCAGTCAGAAGCCACAATAGATAAGATTACTGCTCCTGGAATCAACAGACACAGCAGCATCTTTAATACCTGAATTCAGATATATTCAGGGATTTTTATATACACATTCAATACGTCTCTTCAGGTTTCTTATTTCCACTTAGGTTTCATCTACTGCTCTTGTTAAGTCTACTTTGACCATATGAGTAGTAGGAGAGGATTGTCCTCGGAGACCTTTCAAGAAAATCTGTGGTCTGGGTACATTGCTGGAGTTGTCACGTTTAGTCTGGGTGCCCACCTCTTTTAGCAAGTACACCTGGGTGAAGTTCTCTCTTTTCATATGGCTGAGATCAGTCTGCATGGAGTGAGTTAATTTGCGACGCAAATTGGCCTAAAGACAGAAAAAGGATTGATTAAGCAGAATTGTGTTTGAACATTTTAGCACTAGTAAATACTTAGGTGTGTTTGTCTGTTTTACATCTACAGGCTTCACAAACCTGGACCATGGCCCATTTTGTCCTTCTGTCAATACACATTTGTGACTGTGATTTGGTAACTCCTGAACTAACAGGATGCGTGAACAGCACTGTATGTAGCCCACACAACTTTTAAGTGAGTCTCTTAACAGTTTCCTATTTTCCTCTGGTCATTGCCCTGGAAAATTTTGTTAAGTGCTGAAGGCTTTGTTCTGTTTAAATAAAATATTTTTACGGTAAGCTCTTCCAGTATCTGTCTGGTTTCTACAAAATGTAATGAGGTTTACAGGTTGGTGTCACAAAGCATTAGATAAAAGGGAAAAATGCCTTCTTTCATGACATTGCTCACTAACCACATCACAAGGGGCAAAAGTTAAGTTAATTTATGATTAAAGCTCTGTTTAGTCACAGGAATTGCTGCAGATACAATCACAAAACCAATTCTCACAAACTGTTAATATTACAAAGCCAGCACTTGAAACAACAACATGTTCCTTATTCCACTCAGCCTTCTATGTCAGCAACAATATAAAACACTTTAAATCATATGACACTATATTGTCATTGAAATATACAAAATACAGTCTCAGGTGGTGGGATTCAGACCCCTACATGTAAGTGAGTAAGTCCCTGGAGCCCATTCCAGTCAGTGGAGACTGGAATAAGTGGAAGCTGGAGAGTGATAAAGTTGGTCAGATTTGGTGTTTGCATCAGGGCAAGTCAAAATATTCTCCAGATTCCACTAGCGATATCTCTGTCAGCTGGAATGGAAGGTGAAACACTTGTCTGTAGACACACTCTGGTACCTTAATCTACAACTGAATCTTATGTACGGAATCATCAAGGAAAATACAGAAAGTAACAGTAGGATGGCATGTGAAGAAAGACAATATATTAAGTCTTTTTTTCTGAAGATTTTAATGACAATTAAAACAAGAGCAGGCATGAGATACGGGTCCTCTACTAAGTTTACCTCTCTTGAAAATTGAATGTATGCTATTGCAAGGAATTGTGCTCGCACAGAGAAACAAATGTGAGCTGAAAATTTTACTTCTAACAGCATACAGGTGTATTAACAAAGTAATAGTTTAACATTTCATACCACTACGACTTTTCTTGCTAAGTATGAACAACAGGAAAAATCCCCAAAGGCATCTGAGCTCATCCTCTAACAAAACCAGGAAATATGTCCAATGCTCCCCTAAAGTATCAAATTCACTGATGCACTGGTAAACTATTTCTGTTCATTTAGCATTTTGGTTCTAAATGTTTTATCACCTCCATATTACCAATTACTGTAGACAAAACACTTTCACAGGCATCTGGGATTTTTTATTTCAGCTCCACATCACTAATCTCTCATGTGGACAGCTGAGGCTAAAACACCCTTAGTACTTGAAAGCATTTTCTCTAAATATTTCAGACTAATTTGTTTGTGAATGATCTTCATGATTAAGTGTTGGGAAACGTTCACTTCTGCTTATGCTAAAGAGAAACCACTGACAACAATGGGAAGACTCCTCAGTCCAAAATTTTGGTTTCCTTATATAATGTTAGAGATTTCATGGCAAAAACAAAACAAAACCAAACAAAACCAAACCAGAAAGGAAACAGGCTGCCCAGCAGACCACAGGCCTCCATAGTGCATCTGTTCAGAGAAGGGAAAAAAAGAACCCTGCAGTATCTTTGTCCAGTTGATATTGGGAACTGCAATACTCCCTGTACTTACAAGTTCATTCTGACTGAATTGTGAAAATCAGGTGCTATACCTTGACAAATGTGTGTGCTAGCAAACCCTAGATAGAAGCTTTTGAAATTTATGCTGCTGATTTAAAAGCTTTTATTTATGTATGTAGTCAACCTTCTGTGGATGGATTGCGATTTCCAATCCATCAGAAAATCATCATAATAGTATAACAGACATTTCCTCTGGCTTATATATACAGCAGAAAACCTTCTGGTTCTGTTTCTTACCTCTCTGGTCCTACATGAAAGAATAATTGTTTAAAATTTTTTTTTCAATAAAAGAATTGCTTTTGGTGAACGTAGAGAACAAGGATAAAATATAAAGTATTTCATTACCAAAATAATCTAACAAAAATCTAAAAAGAGGCCCCATGCTTTGATACCTTTCAAGGATGGAAAAATTAGCTCAAAGAAAGCTTCTGCAGGGTCAAACATATCCAAACGTATTCCTTATCATTCTGACTGCCAATTACTGCATTTTTCCTCCTCTTATTTCATGGTGATAAATATTAATATAAATTATTCGACTTGCAATAAAGTTTTGCATGACCCAAACCTTTGTGAAACCATTATTATTTTTTTCTTACGAAGGAATTATATGTTAGTATCTTCAACCTGTTTAATTGAGTGCAGAAAACCAACTTTTATATTCAATGCTAAACAACAAACTCTTATTACATAAAGAAGGCAACTGAAAAATTTGGAATTAATACATATAACAATGGAAGCACTGGTCAAAAATGGGGAAAAATATGTAAAAAGTGAGAGAAGAAGAAAGTCTAGAAATAAGGAGAAAAATTACCTGGAAAAAAATATTGAGCTGCTTGTAACAAAGTCTTTGAATAAAAGGTTGGATTGAAGTTTCAAAGAACAAAATTTTTGAATAATTTACTCTCAGCTTTGTCATACAATAATGAAATCTGGTAATACAAACCAATTTTAAAGCTTTTCTTCTCAGTTCCCATTCATTCCATTCATAGGATCTCACAATAGTTGGAGGCAAGATATGAGTATCAGTTTGAGTACTACTGTTGCATTTTGCTGTTGGTTTCATCAAACATTTGTCTGCAATTCTGGCCTGGATGAAAAAAAAACACACCACAAGCAAAACCAAGCAAGGCATTAATATGAGAAGAATACAGACATCTAAGAGAAATAGCATATGGATATGCTACTTTTTAAAAGCAAATAGAGATCTCCAAACCACAACTGGATAAAGATTTTTACATTCTAGAATACTTTTGTTCCCCTTGCCCCCACTAAAAAAAGAAGAAATCATTAAGTATTTGATGGATTTAATTTCTGACAGAAAACCCTTTAGGCAGAGGCAATAGCTAAATTTCAGACTCCCACATCCTGAGTGAGTGAATAATCACTGGATTTTGGTAAAAAGGTGTCCAACCACCACCCCTAGTATTTTATGATGCAGGCACTTCAGTTTGTCTTTATGAATGGACTAAATATCACAAACCATAATTGGGAGAAGTGCCTACATCTCTGCTAGAGCCAGGATATAAACTATATCTTTCACACTAAGGGCCAATTCAAGACCACATTCTTTCCACTGCTAGGGACCCAACATTCACAGTGGATCACAGACAATGTCTGTGAATCCAAATCAAGTCTTTGGCTTTCACACAATAGCACTGCCACATTCATTATTAATGAGTCCCCTTTTATTTTGTAATATATTCCATAACTCCTTTCCTCAGATACCACTATACCCTCATCCAGAACACACTGATGGACTGCTAAGCTAAATCTCCAGTTAATATGGTATCTCACTTATCTTCAGTTGCATTTATTTACTGCCCCCCTTAAGCTTTTGCAAAAATGAGGAGAAGAAACATCAGACACAAGACCTTCCTAAGCTATGAACTGACAGCTTCATCGCTGCCACAATCCTTTGGATGTACATATTCTCCTATGAAGAGATAAGGTGAGAATGACATTAAGTGAAAATATTTCTTCAGAGCTCTGAAGACCTGGAAAAGATGGACCCTCAGAAATTCTGTTAGATAGGCAGATGATTTTACTTTTTTTCCTAAAGATGTGTATCTTCTGTTCTCTTTATGTTCTAGAAAGGACAGAGTAACAAGTGACCCCAACAGCTGTTCAGCAAGAGGCATGGGCAGCGTGTACCTGTGCACGTGGAAAAAGGTATTCAAAGTGATGATGGAGCTCAAGCAATTGAATTAGCTCTGCATATTCTTTTGCTTTTTCTACATTCAACTGAATGAACTTATCTGGATCTTGAGCAAAGCTGTATGCAGCTTCTTTGGAACTGAAAACATAATATTTCGCCTTGTGCTTCAAAATTCCAATAGCAGGATTTCCTAAAAAAAGAGGAAGAAACTAGCCCAAAATAAATCCCACCAAATAAAATACTGCACATAATGATATCAAATACAAAAGACATTTTTAATCAAGATTCTGTGTTTCCCTCAAGTCAGTTTCAACTTCTTTTTCTGAAATCAGAATAAGCGCTGAAAGAAAGTTTTCTTAATATTTTTTAGGTCACTGTAACTGCTTTTGATCAGTTCACATCTATTATGCCTTACTGCATGTCTCAGAAAAACAAAAGATAAAGTATCTATAGCAAAGGCATAGGAAACTAGTCTATACCCACAAATGTTTCCCCTATAATTTTCAGAAAATACCTGATTGTAGATCAGCAGTGCATCTATACCAGAGGGCATAACACTGAAATTAACTGAAGAAGCAGATAAAGCAGTTGAGAAGCTGAACAATAAATTAACAGAGAAAGTGAAGTGTCAACAAAGGCCAAATAACTTATATAGGGAAGCACAAATTGAGTTCAAGGACAGTGGTAGGCTCTGTTTCAGACATCATTGCCCAGGAAAGACTTAGAATCATTATAGACAGTGCCTTGAAAATCCTAAATGACACTACTCAGCTGCAGTCAAAAAAGCACAAAAAAAAAAAAAAAAAGGTAATGAATTATTAGGATGCAAACAGAGGAGGAGAAGAAAGCCAGCATTTTAACAACCTGTATGCTACACTTGTAATTATATATTTGCTCCAACACAGCAAAACAAATAAAAGGGAGTTGGGAGTGATCAGAGGCTTGGAATACCTTTCACAGGAGTAGAGGTTAAAGAAAGACATTAAAAAGAAACAACTAAAAATAAGTAATATGATATGAAGTAATAAAACCATGAATTGTGTGCAATATAAAATTACTATTTGCTAATTTTCCTAATAGAAAGACTATGAGGTCTTGATGAAATTATCAAGCCAGAGCTTAAAACCATCTCAAAAAGAGGTACTTTTTCATAGCATATATAATTATAAATCGTGGGGCTCTTGATGATAAAAATATCCCATGGAAAACTTGAGATGGATTCAAAAATCAATTAGATAAATGAAAAACCTGTATGAAGGATTATTCAACAGAAGGTTACAGACTCAACATTTTTCTGAGGAAATCCCATAACCATTAACTGCTAGAACAGGGAAGGATATAATTAAGGAAGGATCATTCCTACTTCATTTCTCATAAACTTCAAGGGGTCATCACTGCCTGCATCCAGTGATCAGATACAGGGCTAGAGAGACCTTCAGTCCAACTCAGGACAGTTGCTCTCATATGCAGTACTAAGTAAGTAATTTACATTGTCATTAAAATATCTATTCTTTCATACTGCCAAGTAATGGCAATACTTTCCTCTCGACCCCCTGTAGGCTTAAGAAAATTCTACATAGATAGGTTCTATAAAGGATAGGGAGACAGAACACATGGACTGAGGCAGCTGAAATAAGGCACGCTTTCAAGACAAATGAACCTAGAAGAGACCAAAAAATTTCCTGTGATCAGTTGGCCTAATCAAGTGCACTTTTGCATTCTTATCAGAGAAGATTTTTAGTACTTTCTCATGACTATTTAAAAAACATATGGTGTAGCCATGAATGGATGTGTTTGCAACACAGGCATACACAAAATAGAAGGAATGATCATTTTCCTATGCCTGGATTATAGCACATTAACAACAGCAAGCAAACCTGTATTCAGCTGCAGTGTAGGTTATACAGCAGAAAGAAACATTTATCCATCCCATCTTGTTGCTGCCTCTGCTTGCTCATGCCATCTTTCTCTCGAAGCCCTCCTGCCTTCTGTTTTGGGCACTTTATTTGTGTATTTTAAAAAGAAAAATTCTTTAGCAGGGGAAATAAGTTATCTGGAGTGAAAATTACAAATGTGGAAATACAGTACTCCACCTTTGATGTAAGAGGATGCATTCAGAACGCCTTTGCGTTTCCCCTAGTACTTGTATACATATGTAGTATGGAAAATGCCTAATTACAAAGCCTACCTGGTAGGATGAGGCCTCTCACACCAATTGCATGTGCACAGAAACTATGGTACTGGATTAGCAGCTGATCAAAATTATCAGTTGTCTCTGGAAAAAGCCATTCTTGGTTCTTGAAGTCAGAAACATTCACTCTGATTCCTAAGAAATGATTTAACAAAGGAAGGATTTTCAGTATCAAAACATCAGGTGTTTAAAATATAGTAATGTTACAGGATGACCAGATTACTCTGGTTTTCACAGGATGACCTGTAGTGCCAAGATCCCAAAAACCAAAATTAGTCCTGCCTTTAAAGAGAACCTACTCAAAAAGTCAGTCCTGTGGGAGCCTTCTTTAGTAGTGTTAGTTTTCTTTAAAAACAGGGGACAACAACAGGAAGGTAACATCTTATTCTTCTATTTTGTTTTCACCACCCATGCATTACAAATCCCCTGGTGTAAAACCTGGTTCCTAGGGATACCATCTTACAAATAAACATTTCTGGTAACCAAAGCCCCATTAAAGTAGCTTGTTTACCACCCCCTCCCTCTTTCAGAAGTTCTGAAAGGTATAAAAAGCCATAAATAGACTTAAGAAATTAAAAAAAGTATAAATATTCTCTGATCATTCCACCATTTTTGAAAGGTATGTTTGTATCTAGTAGCTATATTTTAATTTTATATGCAAACATAAAATCCCAAGCTACACTACACCAAAAAATAAATCTACACACTAGCAGGCTTATTTTAATTTACTGTGCAAATTCTGAATATTAAAAAATCAATATGTAGCACCTTCTGTAAAGAAAATTAAAACAAAATCTTGGAAAATGAAAGAAAATAAAAAAGTATTAACTTTCCATACCCATGGTTTCTCTTATCCTTTCCTCATCACTTTTCACGGTCACACCTTCCAGAAGAGATGTTAGCACTTCCTCAGGAAAAAGCTGTGAGTGGATTTCCAAGAACTGTTGCAGATTGCTAGTCATACTTGTGAGGAAGCTTAGCAGTAGCATTTCATCCTGAAAGCCGGTCCAGAGTTTAGAAAGTTCAAGAAACAGAGGCTAGAACATAAAGAAAATTATCTGAAATCCAGATTTATTTTATGTATGCAGTGTAACCCAAGTGCTGTGCACAACCTCTGCTGTGAACAAAGCAGAGGCTGATCTCAAAGGCCTTCAGCAACCAGAAATTTCAGGGGAACTCCTGGACACTTTAAGAGGAGTTACCATCAGAAGCACGTCTGAAGCACGTACATCCAGCATGTTAACCCATAGGCCAGAAAGGTGCTTTTCTACATTTTACTCCAAAGACTTTCCCAAATACGTAACTGAGACCGTGCTTGGAATAGAGCACTTCACTGGCCATACAGTTATATAACTTTTTGAAAATAAGGTATACAGCAATAAGGACCTGATTAATTAGTAAATGAGGTAAACCCATAGCTAGATGTACAAACTATCAGGTTTTCTTATTTTGTCTGTCCTGTTTCTTCAGAGTGACTTGGTCCCACAGCCCTTGGGCCATCATATGTGTCAGACTAAAGGGGTGCAGGCCTCTTCAGAGCCCTTTTCAGAGGGTTCAGGGCAAAAGTGGAAGCTGCTATTCCCAGCAGCAATGCTGACATATGGGTGTACACACATACAGAAGAAGCCAATAAGCTTTAGATACAAATGTTGATTTCAATGACAGTGACATAAAATGTGTCCTGTCACATCTAAAAACACAGAAAGCAGTGAAAGTGGTCTATTAATAGAGAAATCTCTACTTGAAAAAGTCCTGAAATCAAAAGTCATTACATATTGTGTCTTCAGCAGAGAAGAAAAAACAACTAACCAAACAGAAGAGAGGAAAAAAATCTAGGGAGGCAGCAGACAACACCAGACAACTTCTAGGGGAAAGGGTTAACATATATCAGTCACTTAAGCCCCATGAAGAAACAGTAGAAGAGGAAAAACTGCTCTGAGATTCTGTTCAAGAGGGGAAATTGTTCTCCAGTTGAGAACATCTGGTTTATAAAATCACAAGCATACATAAACTGAAGTGTCAGACCACATCTGAGATGCACTGCAGTTAAAGTGCCGTTCCCATGAGTTTCCAGTTCAGATGCCCTTATGGGAAGTGTAAAAAATACTCTGAGTGTGTGTGGGGCCATGGTCTTCCTCCCTCCTCCACAGTAGACTTTTATTTACCTTATAATAATTAGCTCAGAAGGATGAAAAATAACCTATGTATGAACTGCATACTGGTTCAGCAGCTAACTACAAGGAATTAAAATGATAAACATATCATACAAAATAATGAGCTCTTCCATGAAAAGCAAATTAAAGGAAGACGGTTTTCTGACATATTTCTCTTCCATTTCCTTTACATCATGCCAGCATAATAATCCCAGGTTTTCACAGGGCCTTCTCCAAATACCTCCCTCCCATAGCTTGTAGCTCCCAATCAGGGTGAAACAGTGCAGAACATCAGTAGTGCACAGGTGCCTTCACTGGCTGCTCACTGGCCAGACAGCCCACAAACCATTTCACACTTGATCTTAGGAAGGCTCTAATTGTGCCTCTTTAGTTGCTCTTTTTTTCCACAAAACTTGCAGAAAATGACATATTTTGAGATCTCTGGAGTCTGAGAAACGTGATTAAAACTTGCCAACAGGTTCAGAAGCTATTGGGAGGGGAAAAGAAGCTGAAACCCCCATCACAGAAACCCGGTTTCTTTAGAAAAATTGTATCAATGAGTCATACTGTAATCACAGGGATTGCTATTTGAAGGAGCACACTTTAAAGGAGCACACTCTGATGTGCTGGTTTTTGTAATCATTATGTTCTTACAGTTTCTGCAAGGAACGGGAGAGAATATTTACATACAAAAAAAGGAAAATATCTCTGTACATCTACAAATACTGACAAATAAAAGACACTTACAGCAAAATACCATTTAGTTCTTTTGCTCCCTTTTTATTCCTTTCTTTTTTCTTACCTTGAGACTGCTACTTTAGTTACCCCTTCAAAAATTGCAGATGCTATTATAATAAGGAAAAAATGATGTAGCCTTTTTTTAACACGAACTATTCAAAAATACACCAGCAAACTATTCTATAATGCTTTAATAATTTTTTATAATGAAGAAGAAAAGGGTTTTCTATTCATAATACTTACAAAAACTTCTTTGGAATCTATGGAAATCTTATCCTGAACTGTGTTTTTGAGTTGCATCATTGTTGCTGTAAACTGAACACTCAACGTTTCAACTTCTTGAGCACTGGTAATTGCATCAGACTGGAAAGAGAACTTACTTTAGGTAAAGTTATAAATAAAAAAAAATCAAGCATTTAATAATAAGTATTTACATGTATCTCTTAATTCAACTATTTTCAGACAACTGTTTTAAGGAATGAAATGCATTCCAACTTTCCACAGAGTAATTTTTTCCTTAAATGCTCAGGTATAAAAGCAGGTACTTCACTCAAACGTGTATATTAGTACTTTTTATAGACAATTCTCTACATTTTCACAATGAAGAGAATTGAAAAAAAAAATTTAATGCTTTATAGTATAACAACTAATAAACCCCACAGTTTCTCAAAAGACAAAAGGAACGCTCTTCCTTAACAAAACAAGAATTTAAATTATATTGTTCAAAGATGATTCAATAAAATTTGGGGTTGTCTGCAGTCTAAAACTGACATGATTTATAGATTGATCAAGCAGATTTTTTTCTCTTATACCTTTTGGGGCAGAGTGTCAATATGCAAACAAGAAGAGTGGTGGTGAATGGAGTTAAATCCAGCTGGTGGCTGGCTCAGCACCGGGGCCAGCCCTGTTTAATATCTTTAGATCTGGATGAGGGGGTAAAGAGCACCCTCAGTAAATTTGCAGATGACACCAAGTTGGTGGGAGTGTCGATCTGCTGGAGGATAAGACGGCCGTGCAGAGGGATCTGTGCAGGCTGGATCAATAGGCTGAGGCCAATGGTATGAGTTTCAACAAAGCCAAATGCTGGGTCCTACACCTGGATCCCAACAACCCCATGCAGTGCTACAGGCTGGGAGCAGAGTGGTTGGAAAGCTGCCCAGTGGAAAAGGACCTGGGGCTCCTGGTCAACAGGAGCTGAACATGAGCCTGCAGCGTGCCCAGGCGGCATCCTGACTTGTATCAGAAAGAGTGTGGCCAGCAGGACTAGGAATTGATAGTCCCCTTGGCCCTGGTAAGGCCACACTTCGAATCCTGTGTTCCTCTGGGTCCCTCAATTCAGGAAGGACATTGAAGTGCTGGATTTTGTCCAGAGAAGGGCAAAGATGCTGGTGAAGGATCTGGAACCCAAGTCTTATGAGAAGCGGCTGAGGGAGCTGAGGAGTTCAGCCTGGAGAAAAGGGGGAACCTTCTCACTCCATATGACTACTTGAAAGGAGGTTGTAGCCAGGTGGGGGTCAGTCTCTTCTCCCAAAGCAATAAGTGACAGGGTGACAGGAAATGGCCTCAATTGGCACCAGGGGAGGTTTAGGTTGGATATCAAAGAAAATTTCTTCCCAGAAAGGGTTGTCAAGCACTGGAACAGGCTGCCCAGGGAAGTGGTTGTGTCCCCATCCCTGGAGGTGATTAAAAGATGTGTAGATGTCGCACTTACAGACATGGTTTAATGGAGGACTTGGCAGTGCCAGGTTAATGGCTGGACTAGAGGATTTTAAAGGTATTTTCTGACCTAAACTATGGTTCTATGCTTCTATGACTCTTTATCTAGAGACATATTTTATTTCATTTATTTCTGAATCATTTTTCTTATATTTCTGTCCTGTACAAGTAGGTAACTTGAATACATTCCAACTGCAATAAAACCCCACAGGACACAACATGATGATATCTCACCAGAAGGATGCAAAGGAAGGCCTCATACTGTCTCACATTGAAAAGTGCTTCTTTTAATTTAAACGAACTAAGCTGCATATATCTGTGGGGGTCTTCCTGCATGGATTCCAACAGAGCTGTGTACTTGTGAGCTAGCATGTGGCAGGTATTAAGACCTTCATCGACAGTCTGTGTAGCTGATGGAATGGCTTCATTCAGAATGGCTGGCACTATTCATATAGAATAAATATGAGATATATATAAAAAAAGAATTAATGAAATCATTACCAAAGGGTTAAAGTGCAGTATTTGAGCATAGTAGTCTTGCGGTAAAATTTTGATTTCTAAATTTTGTCCTTATATTCATGCATTTCTAACTACTCACATACCAGATTCAGCTACTCTATCTTACTAATCAAGTAGTTTCAAATATTTAGAATTACAGGTATGGAAATATCACAGTCAAGTCAAGGAGTGTGAAAAAAATTGCTTTACAGTAGATGCAGTTCTGTTGCTACAACTGACATGGGTTTCCTGATAGATTTCAGGCAATCTGCAGAATTTTCAACTCTCAGTTTCCTAATTTGTAAAATACTAATAACAATAACAGGCCTCCCATTTCCTGGGCATTTTGAGATCTAAAAATGTCCTAAGAATGAGTCAAAGATTATCATTAAAAGAGAAGGGAGACTGCACAAAAAAATTATGCCTATGCAGTTGTTAAAATTCAGTGTTAGTACTTAAAAACCCCACAGATTCCCCCAAACGGCACAGGTGAATAAAACATATTTTAGCTGATATACAATATATGATAAATAATTTCTTTCTTTACAATTTTATTATCGACAGCAGGCAACTATTACACTGAATGTTTTGATGTGTTGTGCTATTTAAGCAGATATCTGTGCAAGGAAATACAATAAGAAGGCCAAGCTACACTTAAGTGTAGCTCTTTGTTGTGTGTGTTGAACTTCTGATGCTAACAACATTGGTGAGCAGCAGAGCAGTAATAAGGCTTCAGGTATGTCCGCTCAAAACCCCATGAGCACAGAAAGGCTAGATTTAACCAAGCTAGAAGGGGAAGTAAATTTGCAAAGGTATCACAAGCAGTTTAACCACAGGTGAAGAGAGCTTAGCACTTGGCTGATTTGCTTTTCTGGATGCAGGGTAAAAAGCCAAAGCAGAGCCCTGCCCCAGCAAGACTGTTGCCAACACTGAAATTAAGACTTCAGATCCATTTAATTTCCTAACCTAAGAGCATTCATGCTGTGTTTTTTCCATCGATCCAAAAGTGATATGTAAACAGGTCAGAACAACGAAGTTCATCTTATACTGACCTAACAAATGTAACAGGATCAACAATCATATTATCTACACTAATCTATTACAAACCCCACAGATACTACAGTGAGAAAAACCAGAACACGTTGTGAATTGTGCCTTTGGATAATACAGTAGTTGAAGGTTCCCTCATGCTGTAACCCAGGCCCAGTGAACCTAAAATAGAGACAGCCACAACACAGAAAGGTGACATTTGTGGTAAAGCATGTATTATAAAAATAGAAAACCATCAATGTGTTGCTTGGCATGTGAGGAAAAAAAAAAAAAGCACCAAAATCTAGAGAGTTGTTTACTTCTTTCTCTGTTATGGCACGTATATTTTTTTCCTGCTTACACTGCTTTACTTAAAATGCCATAAGCTCAGCAAGTGCTTTGCTTTTCAATAAAGCACAATTTTCTTATCAGGCAAAGTATGTTCTGTAGCCTTTACTCCAAAAATTTTGGTCTTTTAAAATAAAAAGTTTTCCCCTACAACTGGGCTACAGACCTTTCTTATGAAGAAGTCTCCACACTGAGCTGCAATACTATATGGATGTTCACATAAACATTGCCACTGACCAGTCATTTATTTGACTATTGTAAACTTTGCAGAAATAATGTGGCTGATGGGAACAAAAGAAAATAAAAGGAATATCAAAGTCTCACCCTACCCTGAATACACCTTTTGAAAAAAATCCAGGATGGCCATTGACATCTTTTGCTTATTAAAGAAGCAGAAAGATTCAAAATGCAAAAGATTTTCAACAACATTTTAGGAATCTTAATTACCAGAATACAGATAATGGCCCAGCAACTTCTATCAATTCTCATCACACATACTCAGCAGAAATTTGCAAATGGATTGTAATTAACTGCTTTAAAAAGCAAACATTACATATTTAATTCACTTAATGGCAAGGGATCTGGGAACAACTTACCATGAGGTAGATTAGTTGCATGATGTTAATACATATAATCTTCCCACATCAACCACGTTAGGGCTCCCTCTTAGCTAAAAAGCAGTAGTCTACATGGAACCCAATAATCGTAGCAAATATGTACTTTTTCTTCAGGTTTGCAGGCCCTGAGTCAAAGCTGTTTATCAGGTGAGATGGAATATTACTGGAGCAGCTCCAGTGAAGAAGGCCAGGAAGGAAAAACTGAGAATATACAGCCTAAAAGCAATTGTCTACTTACAGTCATCAATGCTCCTTCCTCCTTTCATGCACTCCTTGTTGTACAACCGAATTCCTGTGACTAGCATGGCAAGATCTTTCAGCTCTTGTTCTTTGTCCTTCTTATTGAGTGAAATGAAAGCAGTCATCTCTGTCTGGGGGAATACACTCTGCAAGGCAGCTATAACCATTACAAAGGGGAAGAAAAACATCAATATGAGGGAACAGAAAAGAAAATCATTAAATAAGCAAAAATACCCTCTCCTGAACAACTGCAGAAAGTAGGAAATCCTTGACAAATTTCCACTTCAAGGCTCAGCAGTGACAGTTTACCACATTTGTATCTAAAGATCAGAGAGAAGGTGAAATTTTATTTTTCAATGAGAAAAGCCCAATTTTTAGAGCTGGAAGTTTACTGACCTGTTACCTCCCTGACATTCTCAATATCTGTAGGGGATCCCAGGCCAGAGCTCAGCAGTGCATAGCTAACAATATTTTGGTACATTTTCTCTATTTCTTCTTGCAGATGAGGACAACGATCTGTGATATCTCTGACCACAGGAGCCAGTTTTCCTTTCAGAATGCGCTGCTGCTCACGGAGTAATTCATCTAGGAAAGAAGGACACGTAGAAAGTGCTATCTATATTCTCTGCAATTTGGCTTATACAGAGCGTGCATTTTATTTCCAGTCAGAGCACCAATTTAAGATTACTGAAGCACAGATATGTGGAAGAGGTGTTCATAGTACCATACTGTTAGAAATGAAACTGGTGGAGTTACCCATTAACATAATTCGCATGTTTAACATGAGTCAGAAGAGTTCAGAGAACTATCCAGGCCAAATTAGGCAGCAAGTCTCTGACACTCTGGACTCCTCTGATTGCAACTGGTCCTTACATACACACAACATGTATTTCATACACACCTGAAGTTACAAGCTCAAATTTGAACACTGCTCAGGATCTCAGAAACTTACTGCACTTATGGAGCTCATGGAGTCCAGAGGACTTAGAAGCAGATTGCCAGTGTTATTAATTTTTGGCTTTAATCCATGCTAACAAGAAAACATTTTCATGATCTCCCCACAGAAATGTTTTGGGGTTTTTTTAATGCCTACTCTTGTTCTGCATCTTCTGTTTCCCAGCCAGACTTCACTGTCCCATTGAGATCTGAAGTTACATTTACAGCAGAGGCATTTTCCCCATCTCATTTTTCTTCTACATTCCCATTCTCAGACCATATGAAATTACCACCGATAAGACCAAACCATACTTGGTTAAAACTGCAACTGATTGTTCAAGATTACTCATATCTCTCAATTAGGGATATTGATAAAACATAGAGTTTTCTTTTGGATACATGAGAGGAGTTCTGAGTACTTTCAGACACACAGGTGCAGTGAAAGCTTTTCTTGCCGAAGGCACCTAACCACTGCACCTGAAAGCATAATTATTCTCAAGCAATCTAATACATTACATTCAGGAAATCTCTCAGACAGGATGAGAAGAGTGTACTCTCAAATCTAATGTACAGTTTTTCTCTACTTCATCCATACTGAAACATCATACTCCTATGCAGTACATTTCTCCTGGGATTTTTATTTTGCTTTACTGCCAGCAGTCATTTAACAAGAATCATTACTAGTCCCACAGAGAGAGTTATTAAATTCTAAACTCAGCATCAACTTCTATGGAAACATATTTTCGAAATTACCTCGGTTGGCATAGTTCATATCGAAGTAAACTTGCATCTTAATTGTGCTCAGGGATGGATTTGTTGTGTCAAGCAGTCTGGTAACACAGAGCTGAAGAAGAGAGTCAGATAAGTCAGTTCTTTCTCATCTCTGGGGAAACTTTTGAACTGACAGTGACTGTGCTACAGGTTTCACAGCAGCTGTAGAGCCCCCTCACTACCATTCTCTCCATATAAGGCATTTATAAGCATAAGGCATTTATTTACATGAGGACACACATAGTCCAGTCTTTAGCTACAGAACCGTGAGAATAAAGTGGCACTAAAATTTTGAAAGTGATCATGTCATTTAAGTTACAGGAACAGGTAGCAAATAACGTCACAGTCTTAGCTAAGTACTGACTCAACACCATGTCAGAATTACCTGGATAAAATCTTGCACATCTTTTTCTGTAAGGATTTGATCCATAGTAAAGCCATTTCTTGGATCTAAAACAACAGCTCTCACCTTGAGATTGCCAAAAGAAAGATATTAAGTTACATCTCAAAATATCCTCTTTGCAACTAACCTTTTATTTTCTGAAAAGTCTTAGTTACATTCAATATTTCTTTACTATTTTTTTCCCCATTTAAATATTTGATAATGAAACAAACACTTCATTTTATGTATTGCCAGTTTCAACCTCACTTCTTGGGCATAAGTGAAAAAAAATCTATTTGTGAGACAAACTTTGAGAAATATTTAAACACAACTTTTTTAGAAATTACCTGGAAAATATTTTCCTAAGTAACATTTTATGAAAACCCATCATAGTTGTTTATAAAGTTCACACTTGATGTTATATGCATCAGTATAAACATTTACCATTTGGATTAAAAATCCAGTGTTTTGCATGTTTGCAGCTGGTGTCCACACCAGGTGTCTTGCCAGCCACTTGTACAGACTTTTTACTCATTAAAATTTTCCTGCTTAATTGATCAATACTGCTTTTGAGCCCAGTGTATTTTCTAAAGACACAGTGTCACCTTTAGGGGGAAAAATGGCAGATTAACAATACTACTGTGAACCATTTACATTCCCACACAAGTTTATCAACAGCTGATCACCAATAAAGAAATGAACCTAGCACCATCTTCCTTCAGACACAGCTTTGCAGACACATTCAGAATATATTCTGCAGCAGTGCTGTGCCTCTGAAGAGATGCCAAAGTGTATAATTTTTTCAAGATACTTATAGTTATCTACCAAGGACAACACTGAGACTGACTCCATTACATTTTCAGTTTAAATGGGATCTGAGCTCACTACTTTAAATATTCAGCCCATTTATACTATCTGGCCCTGTCTAAGCAGAGAAACAAACAAAATAATCCTTTGCCATAGAGGGAAGACGTAAATGTCAAAGAATAAATACAGCTGCTGCAATAAACATTCACCTATGCGTCAGGCCTTTTGGTTCATTTATGAAAGTGGGGAGAAACCTTATTAAAACTTGGGAACACTTGTCTTTTTCACTTTAGAAAGAAAACAATGGTTTATCTGCCTGTAGAAGAAAACAAAGAGCTCTGAGTTGGAGCTCAGAGCGTTTCCAGGACTCAGGACCTGCAGCCTTCTTGGGGCTTTACATTCACATACATGGCTTTTCAGAGGAATAAAATACTTTTCCAGGTTTTTAGGATCTATACTGAATGTCGCCGATGAACGCCCCTTTAAAATTTCTCAGTGCAGGCAACTGGAAACCCATGATATTCCAAAGCTCAGGTCACCCCTGAAAGCCTCATCTGCCGCCACCCCCCTGAACGCTTCATTCGCGCTTACCATGAACGCCACCAAGGTTTCAGAGAGGGTTTGTCCCCGGGCAGCGCACTCCAGTCCCACTTGGCGGATTATTCCCTTGATGACACTTTCGGTCAGCTGGCTGGACATGCTGGGCAAGCACAAACCTCAGCGGGGTTACATTTACTTCAGCGTTCCTCCCCGCGGGGCCAGGGTCGCCGCTCCCCGGGCGGCGGAGGCGGCCGCGGCCGAGCTCCAGCGCCGGGGGTTGCCATGGGGACGGGGCCCGGCCTGCCGGCAGAGCCCTGAGAGGGCCGCGGGGATGTGCGTCCATACACAGCGCCGAGGTGCTCCTGGAGAAACGCCTGTTCGCACGGAATTTGTGTGTCAGTGTGCACGCAAAACACTCGTGCCTGCGGGTGTACCAAACGCACGTCTGTAGGTGCCCAGGAATGCACGTCTATGTGTACGTAAACATCTAGGTGCACACAAAAACCGTGTACGTGCACGTCTGCAGCTATGGCTGTATGTAGGTACGCGTAAATATCATACATATGGATGTATAAAGCCACATACATACCGTGCTTATGTACACGTACCTCAGTATCACAGAATCACAGAATTGTTAGGGTTGGAAGGGACTTCTGGAGATCGCCCAGTCCAACCCCCTGCCAAGGCAGGGTCACCTAGAGCAGGTTGCACAGGAACTCATCCAGGTAGGTTTTGAATGTCTCCAGAGAGGGAGACTCCCCCAGACAGCCTGTTCCAGCCTGTTCTGCCCGTGTTCTCCTCATCCTGTCGCTGGCCACCACCAAAAGAGTCTGGCACCATCTTCTTGGCACCTGCCTTTGAGATATTTAATATGCATTAATGAGATTCCCTCTCATCAAACAGGCCCAGGTCCCGCAGTCTCTTATATTCCAGACCCCTAATCATCTTCGTGGCACTCCACTGGACCCATATATATTCACACATACAATACATATAGCCCCATGGCAGGGCGGTCGGAACTAGACGATATTTAAGCTTCCTTCCAACCCAAATCATTCTATGAATGGACTGCTGGGGGTGGGGGGCAGAATGGGAAGAAGAAAACCTTGAGGCCAGCCATGCAAGCACATCGCCAAAACACCCATGTGATAAAAACACACCACATACCCAAAGCACAGCACCACAGTGGATGCTGAGAAGAAAGACAACTCCACCCCAGCCAGACCCAGCACAGGTAAATGTATCTACACAGCTATAAATGAATACAATGTGTAGAGACATGCACACATACATGTATACAGAAAACATGTGTTTGTGAGGTACATAGCAAGTGCTGGAGGCAGAGGCAACTTTGCTTTGGAACATGAACAAGAGAGCCACTTTTGCTTTCAGGTCTCATGCTCACGGCTGGAGGTGGCATTTTCCCCAGGTGTAGTGGCCCAGTGGGCCCCAAGTTCATCCTCAGCTTTTGCACACACCAGTGAGCACACCACTGGATGAGTGCAATGCCTTGCTGTAACTGGTTCAGTTAGTCAATACACAGTTTATTCAAGCTTTTCCATGTCAGAAAGAGGAAAGAGTAATAGCACGTTAATTAAATTTAAAAACCATGTCCCTAAAAGGCAATCAAGTAAGCTCAAAAGGCACAGTGAATGCAGGGATAACAGCTGACAAGCTACACCAGTTTCCCACTGATTAGATTTTTATCCCTTTGATTTAAGCTGTCAGACAGAGGGAACTCCACTGAGAATCACGATGAGATCAAGATTATTATTTTTTTCCACTGTGACCTCAGACAAGTCACTCTTACCAGTGAAATGAAGATTATACTATGCTACCTGGCAAGTAGCTGCAGGATGACATCCACACTGTCAGTGTGTGTACAAAGGTACGGTGTAAAGAGACTCAGCATCAACTGTGGGATATGCTTTGAGAAGGTCTGTGGAACAGGTACCAAAATAATCCTGCAAAGGACATTGTGAAGTCTTAAGTTTCATTCTAGTAGCACAGCTAATGAGGCTTCTTAATATGTCTTCTGCATTCACATTTTAAAAAGTCAATACCCTTAAGCTCACTAATTATACCAAGACTTTCATCAAGAGAATAAAAATCTACAGGACTTCTTTTTCCACAAATTGGAGGATGAGAAGCTTTTGGGGCCCTTCCTGGAGCAGAAGCATGTTTGCTTTAGTGTGCTTAGAGTCACAGACATTTCCCTCTGTGCTTCCTGATAAATCACTCAAGAACCAGCTCTTCTGCACTTGCAGGTAGAGAGGAGAGAGAGGAGAAGAAGAATATAGTTCTGGAAATTAGAAGAAACAAGAGAAGGTGCCATAGCCAGGTTTGTCTCTACAAATTTCAGAAGTCAGTGATAAAACTTGGTGCACAAAGCAGTGACAGTAACAATTCCTCCTGAAGAGATTATCAGCTAAAGGTGGACAATTTTACAGAGTTCAACCATACACTATGTGCAGTAGAGATGGAGGTGGAAGTTGCAGCTTTGCAGCTGCAGAAAGCCAGTTTCCATGCTGTAACAGGTACAAGGCTATTGTTGACAAATTCACAGGCATCATAAATTCACAAATACTTCCAGAGAGAGCAGAAAACTACAGGTAGGATTTCTCCAGGTTTTTAGTATGCATGCAGAGCCTGCATAATTGTGCAATTTTGGCTCAACAATTTAAAGACTCTTTAAAGACATTTTACAGACTATTTCAACACGGGCCAGTGTCAACATCTGCAATTAGCACAATCTCTGCAAACCATTTGGTGCTGAGGACCAGACAGCCACAACAGCAGTTGTTACTTCAGACTAACCTTGCTCTGGCCCCAGCAGCTGGTCCTATGCTTGTGGCTCAAGTGTATTAGAGGCACTCCCAGAGCCTTCAAGTTTAATTCCACCCCAAATGCTTCAAGCCCGCTGTACTACGCAAAGGAAAGCACAGCAGGTGAGGACTTTGTAGATCCCTCCATAAACACGTGCTTGAACCTAAATTAAAATACCACACACCCTAACACCTCTCTTCTCCCCATCTGAGTTACCAATATTCACAGTCACGTTTGTCTGTTTGATTATTTCCTGGAGGAAAAATGAGCTATAAGAACATCTTACTTCAATTGAAATAACTGATGTTCTTTGAAAAATCCCATTTTTCTATTGTCAGTAGGATGTCTGCATGCCAAAGAGCACTTAATTTATAAGACAAAATATTTGGAATAAATAGGAGTGGCTATATCACAGTGTTACTGCATTCCTTTTGCAAAAGTTTACATTATACAGAGCTTCTGAAAAGCCACCAGTACTAGTTCACACTCATAAATCCTGGTAGGAGACATCCAACTACCTATATACTTTTAGGCTTCAGGCTGAAAAGAAAAAAACAATACATTTTCAGCTGAGCTTATTGAGAATTTAATTTTTTTAATTGTTTTAAGCATTTCAATAGTATTAACCTGTATTTCAGATAGCACTGTAATCCAAAAGTTACAAACTGCCAGCAGTGTTCTTATGAAAGAAGGAAGGGAGGGAGGGAGGCAGAAAGGAAGCAAGGCAGGAAGGAAGGAAGGAAGAGCAGCCATTTATTTATTTTCTAAAGAAAAACACAGTTTCAAGGAAGGTTCGCAGTCTGTATTAAACCACAAAAAATATTTTAACTTAATTTGTAACCTACTGAAAACTTCATGTTGCAGAACATTGTTTCATAATCAAAACAGTTGGATTTCTCTCCTAGAACCAGTGTTAAATCTTAAATAGTTCTAGGAATAAAGGTTGGTACCTGATAGACAGACAAACTCTTCCCCCTGGCGGCGCATCTGAGCCATTGACTGAGAGTGAGACAGTAAAAAGATTTCTAGGTTTGTAATATAAGGATTTTCCATATTAGTTTGAAGAGTCATTAGAAATAACACGGTTGCTTTTAAATTTCTGTAAAGTTTGATACCCTAGTGCTTTCTTTATGGGAAAACATACCAGCTATTTGATGAGTTTGCTATTACGTTAGACTGGCTATCACATTAAGGATGTCACCTCTTTATCCAGCTATTTCCAGAATATGGTTGCTCAAGTCTGAGCACATCACCTCATTTTGCTAGAGTGGGCACAAAGTTGTAGCTGGGTGCTCTTACATCCCAGAGCTGAAGAGGAAACAGCCTAGAACCATCTATGTGACTCACCAGTTGAATTTAGGGCACAGCCTGAGCACTTGGCAGTCACATTAGGTGAACAGAGAGCTTGCACCCAGAAGATACGATTGCCAGGATGGCAAAAAACATTGCTTTATGAAGCTTTGCCCATTGCCCTGTGCTCAGTGGAGATGCTGGGCGGAGGAAGAGTCTGTTTGAGCTCCATTAACACAGCCATATTCACCAAGGAATTCTGCAATGACTAACCCTCCAGTCCTTCTCACTCATGGTTCATCTGATGAGACCTTGCAGCTCAGTTAGCCTCTCTCTGCACTCAGACCTCCTCTGATGCGGTGTCCTGCTGGTGAGTGGGCGTCAGCCCCTTGGCCTAAAGGTCTCCTGCGGCCATAAACATTCCAAGGCACAGTTAAAGCTCTTTGAAGGTGATAGACCTAAGTGCAGGGATTTAGAGCTGACAATGCAGGATCCAAGCACAAGCTGAGTTAGTGACCCTTTCCTCACGTGTGAAGTTAAAACATAAACTGTGTGATGCAGGTTTTTGTTTGCTACACTTCAGAGTCCTGAAACTACCTTGCACCTTGATGCAGAAACTAACATACACTTGACTACACTTGGTTCTTCCAAAGGAGCAGTGCCAAGGAAAGCCTGTCTTCACACAGGAATCAACGGCCTGCCCCTTTCAAGTGGGAAATACACTTAATCTATCTGGCTTTTATTGTTTGACACTGAAGCTGCACAGTCAAAAATCCATTTTGTGAGGACAGATGGATCATGCCACCTTCTTCAGCTTGCCTGTTAGTTCACAATAAAACTGAGTTTCAAAGCTGAGAGGGTTTCAGTACAAGTATTTTTATTCCTTCTTCCTCCTCAAACCTGCACATTACAAAAAGTGCTGCCTTGCCTGGAGCACAAAGTTGTGGTGCCGGTCACCAGTGCTGACCAGCTCAGCTTTAAGGACATAGTCCCACAAGAGCATGCAGTGATAGCACCATTTCAGCTTCCCTGATTCTCCTGGAAAGCTATATAAGTGGTAGGTATATAACCACTACAGGCTCCTTGAGGCACCGTGCAGACTAATGGTTAACCTTTAAAGGAATC